GCATCTTGATTAAGACGAAAGACATAACCGGCCTTAGCCAATCTCTTGAAGCCTGCTTATCAGTCTTTCCTTCCTGCTTTTGTTCAGTATTAGATGACGCATCAACAACCGCAGTAGCAAGTGCCCCAGTCGCAATTGAAAATAGTGTTACGGCAGCGGATATTCCAAGGAACTTTACGCCCTTTTTCATTAATAATTTCCTCCGATAAGTAAAAAATAGTTCTTACTATTGTAACATTTATCCTACAAATTCATTAATGAATTTTATTAATAATAAAAATTTCGTACATAGTATTAACTAAGTCTGCAAATCCTTTCGACGCTATTCCAGCCATAAGACTTTAAGAAAGAATAAAAAAATAGTTCTAAATCTAACATAATTTAGAAACTATCATTATTAATAATACTTATTGAGCATTATTTAGTTCAGCTTGTTTCATTGCCACGCGCTCCGAAATCTTGATAAACGGAATATAGAATAGTGTACAAACAGCCAAGATAATAATTGTACTAAAACCACTTCCAATCGCCACCACTAGATAGAATACCACTTAAGATTGGTGGCGTTGTCCAAGGGACCATATAGGCTATGGGCTTAACAAAGCCAATGGCTGTTGCAAAGTATCCAATTAATGACCCAATTACTGGGCTCAAGACGAATGGAATAATCATTGGGATGTTAAAGACAATTGGAAAGCCAAAAATAATTGGCTCGTTTATTTCAAAAATACCAGGAACGATGGCTAACTTAACCACGTCCTTATAAGGCTGATAATGTGATACTAGTAAAACGGCTATAATTAACGCAATTGTCAAACCAGTTCCACCCATTTGAGAATAAACTGTTACAAAATCTGTATTAATAATATGCGTAGCTGGTCGGCCTGCTGAAACTGCAGCGGTATTTTCATTCATATTTACTAAATTTAATGGATCTAGCAATGATCCGTTAATAACTGTTTGGTGAATACCTAGTGTATATAAGAAGTTGCCCGTCGAATAAATTAGTAAAAACCCTGGAAGAGAAGTATTAACCTTTCTTAAAGGCTCTTGGATTAGCCGCGAAATCAAGGTTACTAAATCAACGTTAAAAGCGGCTAAAATAGCGGCAGTAATTCCAAATATACTCAAAGTTATCAGTGATGGTAGAAGAACGGAAAAGCTTTGACCAACTGCTGGTGGTACCTGATCACCTAAATTAATCTTTAATGCTTTAATTTTGGATAGCCTTAAATAAATTTCGGTTGCAAGCAGACCAATAATTATACCGGCAA